GCGCTACATCCAACCAGGTGGCTGATATCTCCGTTCTGTTCTCCTCCAAACCAACTCCCACCACCCGACCGCCATTCAGCTCGACTTCCTCAGATGGTCGATACGCTCCTCCATCTCTCGCGTCAACTGCTCGTAATTTCATCCCTTCACGTCCAAAATCAACAACTTCTTTAATTGATGATCCTTTCGATGATCACAAAAAGTTCTCTAGAGAAGCGTCTGTCAATACTTCTACGTCAAAAACATCTTTAGAGGATTTGAGTGGACTCGACGCAGGACTCTTCCAAACATCAGATCTCGTTGGTCTTGAGATTCCCGCTCCAACTCCGCCGTTTCAACTTCCGTTGCTAGGAGATCCAACGACACTATCCCCACCAACCGAGCCTCACGCCAAGACCCCAAAGATCGAGTCTGTGACTCTTGATGAGCTGGCGAAGGCGCTTGATGAATTGGGGTTGCTCTGCGACGAGCATCAGGATCAGCGGTACTTTGTCTTGCTCTCTCTTGAGGAGGCTGAAGGAGTGCGGGCGGCTCTTCACGTTGCCACTCATCGGGGAAGCTCCTCAATTGTTCCTGAGGCCAACGTTTGCAGTTGCGCTGCGACATGTTAGCTCGAAATTCTCTCCACTTGACAGTTCTCGTCATTTCACTGATCATCCCGCGGCGAGGATAGCCATGCTGCATGGTGTACGCCAACAGACTGCTTTGGCGTGTTATCGGTTTTTGAATTCCGAAGTCCACTTTTCTGAGCGCCAAATTGCCCTTCTTATCAGAGGATTACAGGAGAACGATTGCAACGCGCGGAAGGTTCGTCATTCCTTCTCCTCGTTGTTCCTACTTGTCTTCCTCAGGAGTGGTATTTCGATGTTCGACGTTGCCGTAGACGACGACAGCGCGTTATCGTCGACGGGAACGATTTGTCAGTTCCTGGCGTGCCATCAAGTCCTGCACTCTCAAGAATTTTTGGGACATCCGATGATGTTTCCCTCATTCAATTGAAAGTCATTGGCGTCCAACTAAGGCGCGCACTGAAACGAAGGTATTTCTTACGTCGACCTCCAATTCGATTTCTGTTTCTTCATTTCTGTTTCTTCATTTCTGTTTCTTCATTTCAGGGGAATGTCGTTGTCGGATGGATTCCGTGCATTCGATACGTCACGACTCGAACGTCTCAATATTGCGCAGATTTATGGCGGGTTGCGCTGGCTCAATGTAGCACCACTCCTTGACGATTTCCGATTGATTTGGCTGCATATTCCCAAAAATTCCGAAGGGTTCACAACCGAAGCTGAATTTGTCAGAGTGTTCTCCCAATCCCCGCATCTCAGAACTTCCGCAAGTCCGGAAGAGTCTTCGTTCATCGGCGGGCCTCTTCTTGATTTGCCGAATGGAATGCGACTGACTTCCGTGGGGGAGGTGTTGACGCCCGATGAATTAAAAATTCTTCTTGGAGCAGAAGCAACAACGGCTGGGGGTGGAGCTGCATTGGACACCCTGGATCATAAAATCTATGAGCGACTCAAGTTCAAACTCCAACCGCATACATCATTCAAAAAAGTATGGGAAGGACAATTAAGCGGTGAGTCTGACGGAGAAACGAATATGTGCAGACTGTCGTTTTCAGTTTTATCAGCACGATCGATCAGTGGGACGACAGCCTCTGGGCCGCTGTTTAGTTTTTGGGCACCGGATCAATTGGAGGGAAGATATCGCGCGTTAACACGAAAAAATAGGGAGCGTGTCTGTTTGGGACATTTTGGTTGTCAAGGCGGTGATATTTTGAAATTTTTTGCTGCTCACGTAAGATTGTTGCTTTCATTTTTAAACTTTATTTTTCTTAAATTTCTAGAAGGAGATTCCTCAGCCATTAGTTTATGAAATTGAAGACACTAAAGCTTCAACAATTGCGGAGAGTCCAGAGTTGAGAAGGACAATCGATCTTCTGTTGCCAAATCCAATTCGCTACAAATTGGTAAATGTTCTCAATGATGCTTCTATAATCTGTGTGTTCCATACACTCGCTTTTCTTTCTAGGTATGGCGATCCACGGCGGCTACCGCGATCGGAGTTTCAGCAACACCTCTTGTTATATGGAAACCTGTTCCATCTCGTCCCAACGATTTCACGGCTGTTGGTGTTTGCATCACAGAATCCGATCAACCTCCACCGCTTAACGCCGTTCGTTGCGTTCCAAAAAAATGGGTTCAGCCTTCAGCCGTTCGTGCTGTCCCGCTATGGAGTTCTCCGACACCAAGAGGACAGGAGTTCATTTCTCTGAGTTTGGCTACGACGATGAAACTCCTGACAGCAAATTCAAATGCATCTGAGACTCCAATCGAATTGAAGGCAATGAATTTTGTTCTTGCGGCTAACGATTTGACATCTCTAAAATCTCAGCCGAGTGACTTCACATCAGAACGTGTTGCTTTGCGTAGTAGTGATCTTCTCAGCGGGGATGGTGCTCTTGCAACGAACCGCTCTTCTGCTCTCGATAGCCGGATTCCCCGCCTAGTCCCCAAAAAATCTGGAAAAGGATGGTTCTAGTTTTTCGTGAATTTTGTTGTCAATGTGTGAAAAATTCGTGCTGAATGTTGTGAAACGAAAACGGGCATTCATGTGTCTTCAAGGCCGAACTGGAGCAGCACTGAATTTTTGAGTTACAGTACTAACAGTGAGAGACACCGTACTAACAGTGACACCGTACACCACATTGAGTGAGAGACCTGTGAGACACCACGACTGCATGACGGTATTGAGACCGGGCATGCACCAGTCAAGTATTTATAAATGCGAATCAAATCCTGCTATCCTGCCGTTCAAAATGTTCGGCAATTATTTCACTTTCGTCACTTCTTCCGCTCGACCCATTGAACAGTTCTTTTGTGGGAGAGCTCGGCGCCTTCATGGACGCAGGGTCAGTAGTTAACTTTCTTCCTGTCTTCATCTTTTTCTTGCTGTAGGGGAGTGTCACCCAAAACAAAAAAACGGTAAGTTTCGCGTCCCAGTAATCATCGTTATGGGACAATTTATTGAACAGAGGGCTGGTTCGGATTCGGTCGTAATTCTCCTTCCCCCCCTACTAAGTAAGTCTATTGTTTCGATCTGATGATGGAATGATGATTCATGGATCTGTCTCATCAACGTTGGGACTGATTACTCTATGGATGGTGTTCTATGACTCATCACTCTATGGATGGTGTTCTATGACTCATCACTCTATGGATGGTGTTCTATGACTCATCACTCTATGGATCATCATTGATTGATATTGATCCATCGCAGAGGGAGCACGTCTGGAAGAACTTCTCCCACAATGAATTTTCGTGCGATTGAAATGATCAATCAGGACTTGCTGCAGAAGGGATGCAACTCGGCAACTTTGGGACAGCGCATCAAGGATTTATCCCAATCAATGGATTTTCATGAGATCAAGACTATCATCATGAGGATATTCAACGATCATCTCCACATGCGAGATGGAACTGGAACTCATTCGGCACTTCTATTGTTGGATCTTCTACCAGAAGAATATGAAAAACTGGAACTCATCCGAGATGGTTTGAGTCTGGCTGTTCGCGACTCCCGTATCATTGACGCTTGCGAATTTTTTCTGAAATTCCGACCTCTCGCTGAAATGCTGAATCGCACCGTTCCAGATCTATTCCAGGATGAGCCTTTGTTGATCCAAGTGGTAAAGAAGGCTGTTGTTCCCGAACGCCGTTTGGGACATCGTCGAGTGAATTCAAATACTGCAATGTGCCAGCGATTGATCGGTGGTCTTCTTGAAGTTGGTGCGGATATCAACGAAGTATCAAGGGATGGAGACACAGGAGGTCCAACAAATTGTCTGTATTTGGCGTCTTGTTACGGAGATGAGTCGCTGGTCCAGTTCTTGCTCGATCAAGGAGCGCGTCCAGATGTGAAGCTCGGCAATCGCAGCGTACGGGAAAGACTCCTCATGAAAATGAACAGCAAAGCAGATGTTGCCGAAATGAGACGCCTCTACAACATCATGCACCAGTTTGATGGTAAAGCCCCGTCTCAACGTTCTCCGTGGCGCATTGCTAAATTCCTCACCAAAAGGCAGAAAAACGTTCCAACCACAATTGGAAAAAACAAAAAACTGAAGGGTTTGGATCTGGCTCGTTGTGATCCCAATGATAAAGTTCAACGAAATGCACTTGCTGTGAGATGCTTGGAGATGGTGCGATCCTCAGGAAATATCCAAGAGAGAGACCAAGCATTAAGACAATTCAAAGATGTTCTGAGAATGGGACTAGTGTACCGAGCTTTCAATCTTGCCTTGCAGCGTGGATGGCTGGAAATAGCTGATCTGATGATTCCCTCACATCTGAGTGAAGCCAAATTGGAGAATTGTATCAAGCGTGTTGTGGACCACAGAGTAGAAGCATTAATTGACTTGGATGGTTCGACGACGCAAGCACTGCGCGATTCAGACACCAAAAATCGAATTCAGTTATTGACGAAGATGTTCAAAAAATTTCCATCAAAGCGAAAGAGCGAAAGGAAATGAGTGTTTGGCTGAGAAGGGCGCTCCCTCCGGGAGAAAACGCCTTTTCAACGGCCATCAGAAAAAATGGATATTTAATGGGCTTATCAAAGTGGCGTCGTTTTGTACGATTTTTTACTGGAAGCCCACCTGTTATGGATGATGCAGCATGATTGCGCGGGTATTGAACTTGCGCTTCGAAGAGTATGGTTCTTATTCGAGGGTTCAAAGGCCCTTGTTTTTATTGCTTTCAGCAGACTTATTCAAGGGTATAAAGGCCCTTGTTTTTACTGCTTTCAGCAGACTTATCCGAGGGTTTAAGCCCCTTGTTCGAGGGTTTAAAGGCCCTTGTTTTTATTGTTTTCATCATATTATTCTGTTTTTTGAATATTTATTCTGCAATGCGCTTTCATACTGATTCCACAAAGTAGTGAGACTGATTTACTTCTCTTTTTGTATCTTACAAAACAGATCTACCGAACAATCACAAATGCTTCCACAAGAACCAAATTTCTGGTTGGATTTCACAATCGGTGGTGTTGCAGCAGCAGCATCCAAAACAGTCGTCGCCCCCATTGAACGCGTGAAGCTCTTATTGCAAACTCAAGAAGCAAATCCTGACATCAGGTCGGGACGCACTCCTCGCTATTCGAGTATGATTGACTGTTTTTCACGAGTCGCAAGGGAGCAAGGCGTTCTTTCCTACTGGAGAGGGAACCTAGCGAATTGCGTGCGGTATTTTCCGACGCAAGCATTCAATTTTGCATTTAGAGATACGGCAAAGTCCATGTTTCCAAAATATGACAAATCCAAGTGAGTGAGCTTACACATTCAGTCGAAGTCTTTCTTTTTAGAGAACTGGGGAAGTTCCTTTGCGCTAATATTGCATCAGGGAGTGTTGCTGGAGCTGCTAGCCTCTGCATCGTCTACCCACTAGATTTCGCACGGACACGTCTGGCTGCAGACGTGGGAAAAGCCACACAGCGTGAATTTGTTGGGGTCGTCGATTGTATAAGAAAGGTGACAACGCAAACTGGGATTCTTTTCTCTTTACCGGGGTTTTTGGGTTTCGGTCCAAGGCAAGCTTCAACAGCGACCAACGATAGATCCTTTTAAACTCTACAGGTGTAATTGTGTACAGAGGAGCCTATTTCGGTTTGTACGATACGGGTAAGGCTCTTGAAGTATCGACCGCAAAGCATCCGTCCGACAGGGAAAAGTGTTTTGTTTGAGGATGAGCGGAACGCGAACGTGTTTTTGAAGTGGGTCGTTGCGCAAACCGTAACGACATGCGCTGGAATTGTCGCTTATCCATTTGATACAGTTAGAAGACGTAAGTGGGACAAGAGTCGTTTCTGAAATATACAATTTGTCTTCTCAGGGATGATGATGATGTCGGGGAGACAAAGTCGAATGATACAATATTCAGGGACGATTGACTGCTGGACAAGGATCATGAAAGAAGAAGGTGGAAAAGCATTTTTTAAAGGAGGGTGGTCAAATGTGCTTCGAGGTATGGGGGGGGCGCTTGTTTTGGTTTTGTACGATGAGATGCAAAAAATATTCCAATGAATATTCGAGAGCCTTGGAATCTAGAACAGCGAAAAGGACATCCACGGAATGGCCGCTAGATGCCAATTCTGTTCCACTCAAAAATAAGTGAGAATTCAGAAAAAGAATTCCACATCGGTATTGATGTTCATCAGAACAATCACTTGCAGTTGAATATTTCTGAATCTCTGGAGTCAGTTGAATTGAAACCCCGTCTTTGCTTGGTTCATATTCACCATCGAATTTTCCATTGAGGTCTTTGTCAACAAAAAGTTCAATTAAACTTGTCCCAACATTATTGGAGAGAAAGAACGATTGATCATGCGAATCATAAACATCTTCATCAAAATTGCATTTCGGCCATTGAGGCACTTTGGGTGTCCCGAATGATGACGGCACTTCAGTCGAAAGCGTGGTGGGTGTTGTCTTATTTGACGTTTCTCCATTGAGAGTCTCACTTGGAGCTGTTGATTGGGGTGAGAACTGTGGCGCCTTGACCTGCTCCAACTTCGAGAGAAACAAGTAGATCAGGCCTTTGAATTGGCCACTCTGTTGGTTTAGTGAACGTGCAAGAGAGCAAAACTTTCAGCAATAAATCTTGAAACAATCCATGGGTAAACGATCAAAACGGTGGACATTGGATGGGCCTTTGCATGTTCCCAAAATGCTCTATTCAAAACAATGATTGTGTTCCGATGGACATTCCATTTGATGGCGTACCTGACCACGCTCCACGCTCGCTCCACTGCTTCTGCGTGTCTTTCTCTCCGTTGGCTCCACCAGCCCGAGCGATTCGTGCGTGGCGAGAATCTGAAGAAGCGCGATTGTTAAGAGAATGATGAATGAAACAATTTTAAAACTCTCACTTGGCAAAAGAGAAACGCTTAGCGAGTTCGGCCGGCGATGAGCCAGCGATGGGAGGAGCATCTGGCAAAGTGGGTCTGGGGGCCGCAAGTAAGCAATCCGACAACGTTGAGGCCTCAACTGCATCGCCGTGAGGGAATCGGAGTGGAGAGTGACAACGCGAAGGTGCACGAGATGATCTGAAGGGAAAATGAGAACAGAGTGAATAGAATTAAGAGAGACTAGATGAAATTGATCACCTTGGGGTTGCTGTGGGACTCCGTCTCGGTCCACTGAATAATCCCCCAATTTCACAAAGCTCAGGCATTGCGATGACAGGAACATCCGGGAATTTCTGAATCAAGGAATCTCAAAAATGATGCAGATTTGGGTTAAACTACCTTGGAGAAAGCTTCTGCAGTTTGAAGAGCGCGAATCTTTGGGAAGAGGAAAACATTGAAGGTGGAAACATTCAGAACAGACGCACCATAGGGGAACAGAAAATAGCAGATATGGGTTCATGATTATGAGTTGACCCGGACGAATGAAGTAAATCGGAATAAGTTTTGAACCATTTTGCGGTTGTTTGAGCTTGTTGGTGTCCTAAATTCAAAATCAATTTGTCACCATTTACCGATGTGACTTGCCTGTTTGTGTCAATGGCGGATCGGGCACACGATCTCCGGCATCATTATTTTCACTTTGGGCATGACGAACAAAATAAATGCGCATTTTTTATTTTATTCTGAACTGGCAAATCGCACGCCGTTTACCAGCCTGACTGATGTCGGAAGTGGTCGTCCAGCTGAGGCACACCCAATTACTCCAATCAGATTATGAGATTTTAGACGATTCTTTCGGTTGGTTCACAGACAGCATAATTGCTGTTTGGTTTGAATATTTGGAGACTCATGTTTTTTAATCAAACAGCAGAATCTTCCGAAGGAGAACAAAAAGAGAGAACGTGCTTAGAGTCTCCTTTATCTTCTAAAGGAGTTTGTTTTCTGGATCCTTCGACTGTCTTCTGGATTCTTCACGAGGACGATGTTGAGGAATTATCGAACGGACTCTCACCCCTCAATTTAAAAAATCAATCAATCATTTGCATCCCTATCAATGATTCAGTTTCAACATCGGCCCCTTGCAGTGGATCGCATTGGTCGCTTCTTGTTTTTACTGAATTCCAATTGACAATCGAGGATCGTCTCAATGGATGTCGTGCAGTCCCTTCACGTTTCATTCATATCAATTCTTTGGATAACGGATCGAATCAAACAAACGCAGAAGTCGTTGCGAGAAAATTGGCCTCATTCGTTTCAGAAGGTGACCAGTTGCAATCCCTCCCCGAGATTGATGTGGCGAGGCTCCTAGCCGGACCCCAAAAAGATCAGTCCAGCTGCGGTATTTGGATGGTTCTCGCTGCAGAAGAGGTTTGTTCAGCACTTCTCAACCAAAAACACGCCGTACTTGAACGCAATGAGTCGGTTTGTTCAGAATAAGCGTCGCTCCATGAAGTTGGCCTTAGAAGCGTTTCGTGTGAAGAAAATATAGACTGCTGTTTCAACGATGACAGAAGTTGTTAAAAAAAAACAACAAATGTCTGCTTCGTTGAGTTGTTAATATTACTAGGTTCATATATTGAAGACGGCTACGGTCAATTTTGTCTTCCAACTTTTTTCATCGCTTCTTCGAACAATGTGGTAATCATCAGAGAATGACATTCTTTCTCAGTCTGAGCCAAAAGATCTTCTGAACTGGTCAATGTTTGGCTACAACGCTCTTATCCTTTGAACCAATTTCTGATTCTCCAAAATGAGTACCAAACAAGCGCAACACTACTGCAAGCCGAAACCTTGAGACTGCTCTATTGCTAAAATTAAAAGACGCTGAAGTTTCTCCTTATTCGAATATTCCGGAAGAAGTAGGAGATTGAAGCACGTGTATGCCGTCGGAAGCCTCTCAGTTGGTTCGCACCCATTTCGTTGTATTTTAAGGCACAATTCTTTCAGTCCGCCCCAATGGAACTCGATCGGCTCCTAAATGAACAGGAAGGATCCTTAATGACGCGCTAGACGTTTTTTTCACTGTACCTGTGCAAAACCGTAAGAACTTCTTCTGTTGATGAATATCCAAACTATTCAATACTTTCCAGAAATTCTCGATATCATGGACTGTCATCGCGAAATCCTTCGTTAGCCGTGTTCCTTTCCGCATTTCATTGAAATCGTACGTCGTCATTCCGCAAACGAGGAGTCGCAGCTCCTCTGCCGACAACGTCCTAAGGAGCGTTGTTTGAAAGTGTAGAAACCCTCGTTTAAAGCCTTCGAATTGATCCCGAATAGATGAATTGAGGAGGAAGTCAACGTAGAGATTCACATATTTCTGAATGGGAAAGAGTCTCAATGGAATACAAGATGGAAAGCTGACCTCTCTATTGGAGTATTTCAAGGGAATGTCTTTGCCACCCGGCATTAATTCAACAGTTCGCGTTTCTCCAAAGAAATCGTATTCAAGTTCGAATCTCATCGAATCAAATGCCTGGTTGAAACTCTCTTCCTGATCGGGAGGCCAATCAAGCATTTTCATAAATGATTCCCCTTCTGCTGGAAATGTATCAGCGAGATCCTCCATATCTGGAATGAGAATAATCGCATAGACCGACCCA